TATTTTTTATTTCACTCGTTGAATTCCTTAGTGCCACAATTTCTATTTGGTTCTGTTTTTATGATATCTATCTCTTTGTTGAATTTCTTACTTAGATCATGAATTGTTTTCTTGATTTCTTTGTATTGTTTATCTGTGTTTTCTTGTATCTCACTGAGTTTCTTTAATATTATTATTTTGAATTTTTTTTCAGGTATTTCATGAATTTCTTTTTCTTTGGGACTTGTTACTGGAGAATTATTGTGTTCCTTTGGAGGTGTCATGTTTGCTTGCTTTTTCATGTTTCCTGTGTCCTTACATTGGTATTTGTACATCTGGTGTAACAGTTGCTTCCTCCAATTTTATGGATTGCCTTTCATAGGAAAGATTTTTTCCTGTAGGTGTATCTGGGGTGTTAGTTGGGTAGGTTGCTTTGACTTTGATCTTGGTGGGTGCAGTAGTGTGGTTTCCACATGATTTTTTCATCTGTAATCAGTGTCAGTGGTGTCTGCGATTTCCTCAGTAACTTATACTGAAGTTGTTAGTGGAGGTTGTGGCAAGGCTTTGATGAGGATGGGGATGCCAGACAGCCTGGTCTTCAGGCACCCATGATGGCAGTGGCAGGCAGGGTGGGCATGTCCTCAGACCCCTGGATGGTGTGTGGAGGCACTGGTGATAGTGGGCAGGGCAGATTGATACTCAGGCCCCCAGATGATGTACACAGCTACTGGTGGTGGCAGTGGCGGAAGGTTGGGTTCTCCTCAGGTCCCCAGGGGTGCATGTGGGTGCTGGTAGCACGTGGAGTGGGTCAATCCCTAGGGCCCTAGACAATGTGGGTGCCAGTAGTGGGTGGGACAGATCTTTCTTCAGGCCCCTAGCTGGTGTGCATGGTGCTAGCAGGAAGGGCAAGCCTGCCCTCAGACCCTTGGATGTGAGAGGGTGCCAGCCAGTAAGTTTTCTTTGACTTTAAACTTCTCACTGAAGTTTAAAAAGCTTATCTGAGTTATGCCTCTGACTATATTGTGCTTTGAGTACAGAAACAAAAGTGTAGGGCAAAAGCCAAGCCGATCCATGTCATGGTTGTAGACAGTGTCTCTTTTTGGGATGTTTGCTTCATCTCAGCAGTGTGAAGTTGGATGCTTGCCTTCATCCCACCTTGACTTTTCTACTCTTAAAAAGCAAAAGTAGAAAGATTCTGTAACACTAAGAACAAGTGGTTCTTTTAAAAAGTATTTCAGCCTTAGTGGTAGCTTTCTATGGCCATTTCTAGAAACTTCTTTGAATCTAACACATCTATGTCCATCTCTGTTTCCACCTCTGCAATATCTGGCAACTCCTGAAACTTGGAAGGACATCAGTAAGTTTACAATAATAAGGTAGATTATAGTAAATTTCTGACAATAAGATGGGAATAAATAGTTGAAATAAATGTGGCTCAAGGATGCATTTCTTGAAGCCACTCTTAAATTGTATTATCATTTTCCTGCTTGCTAACCAGCTTTCTTCTAAGGCTTTTTATTTTGGCTTAGATGAGCATGTGACATATAGGCTAGTCTGAATTCTTCCTGAAAACTTCCCTAAAATATTATAGAAGTGCTAGTTAGTTGTGGAAGTCTTACTCCACAAGCCAAACTGAAAACATCAGTTTTATGCTTAACCAAATTACTTCGGCTTTAGGTTGGCCATTAGAGGAAGACAAGATATTCTGCGGAATAAGTAGTCACCTTAGTATGAGCATTAAAAACAAACGCTCAGAAATCCTGTTCTTTGTTTGTGGTAATTTATTAGTTGACATTTTTCTATTTCATGGAGGTTTATATCTGCTATGCTTTTACATGAGAAAGATGAAAAGCCACAGAACATATGTTCTATGTTTTTAATGATCTGCTCTTATTTTTAGGGGATTTTTGACATCCTGTGAAGCAGAACTGCAGGAGCTCATGAAACAGATTGACATAATGGTGGCTCATAAAAAATCTGAATGGGAAGGGCAGACACATGCTCTAGAGACTTGCTTGGACATCCGAGATCAGGAACTTAAGAGTCTTAGGAATCAGTTGGATATGAAACACAAAGAGGTAAAGCAGTTGATTCATTCTTCTTTTTGATATCTTGGTCATTTATATTTCTTAAATATTTATAGAAGAAAGGATTTATATGCTAATTAGTTTCTTTATTGGTACATAATTTCTTTAAGGAAATGTAAAAGGGTACCACACAACATTTGTATAACCTTCGTCATATTTCACGTCCACATTAACATTTACTGAGTTTTAGTGGAAGTTGTTTTTGGCTTCACCGTGTGGGTAGTGTAAAAAACAAAGTTGAGTTCCAAATTCAATGATTTGCCTCTTTTAGTTTGGTTTAAAACAAAATGAAGAGCACCCTTTTAAAAAATCATATTACCTTGTTGAAAATTG